AAACAGTTAGGACTAACCAAATGCATGAACACTAAGATCGGAGCACCGGATGGAGAGAAAGGTATCTCCGGAGGAGAGAAAAAGAGATTAGCCGTCGCTTCGGAAGTAACTATTATTTAAGAGATTTATTGTATTGATGTCTAACTATTATATCAAACATTTATAGCTATTGACGAATCCATCGATTCTATTCTGTGACGAACCGACCTCTGGTTTGGACTCATATATGGCTTTAAATGTTGTAGAAGTGCTCAGAGATATGGCACAAACGGGACGGACTATAGTTTGTACTATACATCAGCCCTCGTCCGAAGTGTTCGCACTTTTCACTCAATTACTACTTATGGCCGACGGAAGGGTCGCTTATTTGGGCAGATCAGGTCAATATTCAGTTATTTATCATATTTACAAATTAATTATAAAATATAAAAATAATTTTTTAAAAATATTATAGAGAATGCGATCGAGTTTTTCTCAACACTTGGCCTCCAGTGTCCAAATAACTACAATCCCTCCGATTTCTATATCAAACAATTGTCTATCATTCCCGGCAATGAAATTGAATCCAAGCAAAAGTTGAATGTTAGCAAACTTAGTTTAAAACATATTTAACATAACATTAATTATTATAATTTTAAAATAATTACAGAATATATGCGATCGCTATCTGGAGAGCACTTACTCTAAGTTAGCACTTCCGCTGCCGGCCATTGAAAATAATGATAATTTTAAGATTCAAACTAAAACAAGTAATTCAATTTACAAAACCAATTGGTTTGTACAGTTTTGGGCGCTCCTATGGCGGGCAACATTGGCCGCAATTAGGGAACCCATGTTAACCACTGTTCGTTTGGGACAGACTGTCGTAAGCATTGTTTCAGAAATATATCAGTGGATAGAAAACCCTTTGAATGTCAAGTATATAGGTTTAAAGCTAAAAAAGTTTGATTATGAGTATTGATAACAAGTATGAGTATGCTACATAAGTACAACTTAATAAACTTTTTATCTTTAAACCTATATACTTGACATTCAAAGGGTTTTCTATCCACTGATATTATAGTCTAATAAATATTATAGATTATTTTAAATATATTATTTCTGTAATCACCAAAACACCAGATACTGGCTGTAGTATTTGGGCTAATCTATTGGCAGTTGGATGTGAATCAGGCGGGGATTATGGATATAAACGGCGCTCTCTTCCTATTGATAGCAAACATCACTTTTCAAAACATCTTTGGAGTCGTCACTGTAATTAACATATCAAACA